ATTGGCTGATTTATTTTGCTTTTTCATTGGGATGGGGTGGGGGGTGACAAGACAGTTCACAGATCAGTGGTGAGGGTGTTTTGGAAGAACCGGTTTTCATACACCTTTAAATGAATTTGTACAAAATTACTACTATACGAAGCTTCTAGATCTAGTTAACAAGACTAACTGAGAACTGTGACATGAGTACACTCTGTGAGATTCCCAAAAGTTCAGACCAAAGGAGGCAACAACATTAATTTAATGGACATGATAGCATCACAAACAGAGAAAAGGGGACCTGGAGACTGAGACATGAAAGAAATCATGTCGAGCACAGAAACTAGTACAGTAGAGTCCATTTATAACGAGTCCGGAAAAAACGAGAAGTCTGTTATAAAGACACTTTCTAAAACCCTGTTTTTTTCTCTTCTTTACCTTTGTAAATAAATTACTGCTATGCGCTATCGGACAAACATGCCAGTCGGTTATAGCGGAATATTGCTGCTGCTATGCACAGTGCATAGGCCACTTATACATAATATAAAACCTCGCCAGTTGAGAAACTTGTTGGTGATCTAGCGAAACAAAGAATGGGAGAGCCGATGTGTGTCAACAATGAAGGCTAGAAGAGCGACTGAGTAGGGAGTGTGTGGCATGCGGAGACAAGCAGAACGCATCGCGTGATAGGCCAGTGTAAGCCTAGTTTAGATTATCAGGGCCTACCATGCCTCTCACTTCTCTGATGCAGGGATGGAGAGGTCACAGAAATGTGATGGTTGGAGCGAATGTGTGACGTACGCAAGTTGACGGAATGCACCACAGGGTGTGGTGGGGTGGGGGAAAACACAGCGGGTGAGTAAGGTCACGTTGAAACTAAATCATCATCAGGGGGGAAATCAAAAGGAAATAAACTAAACACCAAACTCATAGATTAGGCCTACTTTACAGTTTCCCTTGAATTTATTAATTACTGGATCCCTTATTCTAGCGAGAATCCTGCTATAACGGACATTTTGCTACGGTCCCCTCCCTCTCCTTATAACAGGATTCCACTGCATATAGAATCTAGTACAGTAACTAAAATTCCAATTGATGCACTAATGAATGCTAAAAAACATGTTCACTTGAGTGAAACATCAACTAGTCTATTAGTTCTTTTAGTGTAGTAGTAACAAACAAGGTATCTCGCATTATTGTGCGGCAATGGCAGCAAAAAAGACGAACAGAGCACAGCACTCCTCAAAGAGCTGAGAAGGGGCAGAAGCACCTGCAACACTGGCAACAGGGACAGGGTGAGGTGAATATTTTGCAACTGGTTCATAACATAATCATAAGAAAGGCCCTCCTAATTTCCACACCATAACAACTTTGGACAAGAGCTCACATCTTAGAATGCACGCTAAAAACTTGCAACCATAGGCCTACCAACTTTATACGTTATTATACGTTATAAAAATAAAAGTGGAAGTGGAAGACTCGTCACCTTCCTGATCCGTCTGCTACTGCTAGATCTTGTCAGTAACCGAGTTTAAAAAAGAAAGTAAGAGATCAGAGGGCATAGAAGAGCATGGAAGCTACAGAGTCAAAAGTTTTCGGTATTCAAGAAAACGCTGCTCGCTAATAACAAAATTCTTTACTCGATGCTTGACACTAAATTAGGCCTGGGTCACTACCTCGGAGTTTTTATCAGCTGATAGCCAATTGTTCTGTAGTACTCCAGTGATTGTTGTGGAGTTCAGGAAAAGAAACACATGAAAACAGCCCCAGAATTACAGTGTTACAAACGAATCTTTTCAAACGGACAAAACATTTTTTAAAGCCAAACCATAATAACAAATACATTCTGTCATAATTTTGAAAAATATATTCTATTTGCCGGATTTTTTAACAGCAAAATTGGGAATAAAAAACGACTGGACAATCTTAAAACTTTTCTTAGCAAGTCCGATAACAACTTTAGCTTTAGCTTTGCTTGTGAGCACATGAAATATGGCAGCGCTCATAGAGCGTTCCTGGAAACTCGTCTCAAAGGGCATTGACTTTGCGTTCACGGCATGGAGATTTCGGTAATTTTTTTTTTTTACTTAAAGGAAGGTTGTTTATGGGGGGAGAGAGGATGGGAATGTCTAATACCACACAAGTGCAAGGCCTACCCAGCCAGTCGAGGCCCAAGGCTAGAGTCCGGCGATTTTGTAGTTTCGTTCGTTAAAGCAATGATAGTACATAACTATCTTTGGTTAAAGTCAAGAGAAGGGGGGTTTCAGGGGGGCTTGCCCCCCTGACCTAATAAAAATATGGAGGTGGGGGGGTTCAGGGGGGCATGCCCCCCTGAATTTTATCCTAATTTGATGTTTTGCAGTTAGGTTGCATCCCTGCTCTTTGTGTAGCCTAATTCAATAGTATTTGGTCTTCAAGACTCAAGACTTCTGGATTTCTTCTCTTGATGTAAACAAATGGATCGTCGACTTTAACGACGGAACTACAAGATCACCGCTAGTCCCATTTTTCTGATTTCATTTTGATTTTTTGTTATTCGATCTATTGTGTTCTTGAATCTCGGTGACGGTGATTGAGTGAATTTTATCTTTAGGCTACAGTCGAACCTGCCCTGACAGCCACCTATACAAATGGCTACTTTCCATTTCCCCCCTTGCGTTTTTTCTAACTGTAAAACGGTCACCTTCCAACGCGGCAGCGGTCACCATATTTTAACACACAACCCCTATGATGCCCTATCACATCAAGCAATAACACCCAGAGGCGGCTCGTGGGTCTAAAAAGTGGGCGTGCACATTTAAGCTACCTTAGGCTGAAGATAATCAAGGGCAGAGTAAATGGGATGGTGTATAATTTTAGGATTTTGGGTTGGTGAAGGAAAACCTTTGTGTGCTTTTATTTTCATTCTTTTTACTTGTGGCTTTGACTTCTAGAACTAAATCTGTTAGCTAAACGTCAATTTCATTCATCCTGCATTAGAACTGAACTCTCAAGTAATACCTTTCACCACTCCACTGCAAAACTGTTCAAAAGCACAACTCAAAGGACGGGGACTTAAGTATGTCACGTTCACCTCCCTCAGGTTCACGGTCACAGAGTCACTTAAAATAGCGACAAGACAATGAACCAATCACAATTCACTTGAGCACTCCGCTGGATTGCTCTGGGGCCCACATAATTTTGGCATGGAATAGTGCACAGTCTATGATGTTTAATTTTAGATTGCCTACTGTGGGCTGTTTCGGCGCTATTCGGCTGGAGCACATTTGAGATGTGCCGTCTTATTAATATTAATGTACCGCCAAACTCTCTACAAGTGTCGTCATCGCTTTGGTTATCCTAAAGAGCGATTTATAGGTCAGGTTTCCACTGTTGACTATCCTGTTATGTTTAGATACAGTGCATGAACTTAGGCATGGCATAGTAGATGTTTTACGGCTAATGTTTGTTTCTGGCGTCTTTTATTTTATTGTGCTTTACGTCATAGAACATTAAAACATTTTGGGCGGCACTGCACGACCGTGCTCTATGGACGAACCGCGCCTGATAACACCTGTCTTAGAGGGCCACCTTAGTGACTCCATTACGTTTTGTCATAAATTGTGCATAGGCCCCTGGCGTTGTGGGCAGGCTGTAATAATCCTTTTCCCTGTCGTTATTGTTAGATTCAGGTATTCCCTCCAACGGATCATGTTGCATAGAGGTCTATAGGCCCCTCCCACTGTTGACCAATAGGTAACACATACATTTTCAGCTGCTGGTGAGGTAAGCGTGTGATCCCTCATAACCCATAAAAGCCCGCCCAGAACTCATAAACAAATTGTAAGTGAGATGAGAGGTCACTGTTTACCCAGTCTGTAACAAAGTAACAATGGATGTCAACATGAACTTGTGACAGAAGAGTCGCTCGTTCTCCGAATGGTGACGACCCACGTGTTTGTTTTACCATAGCACTCGGTCCTCCTTGTCTGACACATATTTCATTTTATTGTCACCCTTGCACAAAAGCAGCAACAAAAGAAAAAAAAACCCCAGCGAAAACGACAACAATGACAACAACACCGCGGCTACCTTCGGTTGGGTCCTCAGAAAGGAATGGTTTATTTTCTTCATCTTGATCAGTCCTGCCTAAGATGGCCACCTGTATTATACGGCCACTTTTCTCCTTTATAGTAATTATTGGCCGTCTTACACAGGTTCAATATTGTATTAGCCTATAAGAAAACAGTGGGTTGAAGGCGTAATTATTATAAATGTGTTACACCTCCATTCGCACACTTTAGATAAGTTAAGAGGTGAGCTGCTCTGAGCGTATCTTTCAGGGCCAACGTGGGCTGAAAGTAAAGTTGAACAGAGTTGAAAGGGATACAATTCCGGACCAATGTCATCCCCAGTCCCAGACAGTTGAAGTTGAGGGGCTATGGAGAATCCTAAGTGTGTGCCTGGTGAAAATACCCTATCATGCGTTTGAGAAAGTGCATTTTATTGCATCTTCTGATACAGAACTAATCTCTGAACTAGATCTAGATCTAAATCTACATGCTTTAAACAAATTTTAAGATAGCTTCAGCACTTTGGGAGATCTGGGTAATTTTGTCAGGTAGGATGCGGAAACAAAGTTTTGAGAATAATGGCTTTAAAGTTTCTCTTAGGTCTGCTCCAAACGAATACTGATCGACGGGCCAGCTGTATTTTTTTACCTGCGACTGAACGTAAAACGACGCAAACTATTTTTAGGTAAAGTGGCCATCTTGTGTGACGTCAGATAGGGATACACCTCCGATCACGTAACTACATTTAAATATAGCCGACTGCATGGTGCCAAAGATCGTGTGTAGAGAATCTTTGATGACACGACGCTTTGGTTGGTGTGATATTTTTCCAGGAATACTGGTAATGTGATATGATGCGGTGCTCTGATGATGCTGCTGCTTATCTCTTCTGCGCATTGTTTATCGCTCCCAGGGGAGGGGGAGGGGTAATCTTCCAGCGTCTTTACGCCAATTTTCGCATGTATTATTGATTTTGTCTTTGCGTTTACTATGTTTCAATTTCAAACATCACTACCGGAATTTCGAAATGTTATTAACGTATACCTGAAACTTTGTAACCAATTAGTGAAGCATGGCTGACGAGCTGCAGTTAGCCGCAAGTGTGAAATTTTACCATGCAAAACACATCGATACAGATTATACGTCAAGCGACTGACCCAACATGATGTTCCATGCGGTATCTCCAAAGATTTTCGAGTACACGATCTTTGCTATATCTCCACGGCCTTCTAAGAATAGTCTGTGGGTATCATCCCACAGATGACATCACATTACTAAAATTAGCCTCCGTTTCACTGTTGTGTAATTTCAGAGATTGCATTGTCCTTCAGACAGCAAATCTGCATTCCATTTCTGTTTTATTTGTTCAAAATTATATGCATAACTTGTATTGTTATTATTAGGCCTATTATGCTGCCAATAGAATTCTCTTGAACCTTTTTAACCTTTTATTGCTTCAAGTCTTCGCTTATATATAAATCTGTGCAGTTTAATTTAGTGTGATTTGATCAAATTGTATCATATCAAGCAAACACACGTTAAGTATTGTTTGGCAGTTATTTGAGAAGATTAACTAAATAAATCTACCAGTAAAAGAACCTCCAAAAGACAATATAACCTAGCAAACACCAGTGTTGTTCGACACAGGGACAGTGTGCTTGTGTTAGATCTACGCCGCTCGCTCGGTAAAAAGATTTTCTTTTTCCCCACGCAGATACTAGACACGAGTGGTCGCCTCCTGTTTTTATTATTTCCCCTCTCCGCTCCCCCTCTGCAACAGTCGCCTTTTTGTTATTTATAAAAAACAAAACAAAACAAACCAATGTTTCATCACCACACGCGCTGCGCAAGCAGTAGGTGCTATACGTAAAGAAGAGAATCACTTCAACTTCTAAAGAATACTGCTGAGAGACTCACCGTTCACCCCCCCCCCCCCCCCCCCCCCCCCCCCCGGGGCAGTGCCACTGATTGTAGTGTCTTTAGGCCATTCCCAAAGGGGGGACTTTTCTTGTTCAAGCACAGTAGAATTGTAAATGGGCTGATTCATGTCACGCTCATAACTGTGCCTGATCTACAACAGGGAACTGCTGCTTTTTCTTTCCTAATCCTTACTATTCCTTTTTCCTCTACTTCTTTTGTATGTTTGTCACGACCTGCTATTTCCAGGGTGCCTTGATAGTTAAAGCAGACCTTGTGCTGTTGAAGCAAGAGAGGTGAGCAGAGTAAGTTTGATTCCCTGTAAAGACTTCTCTGTTGACACCCACCCCTTGGCGGTCATATGACCTTATGCAGTTGCAAGCGCCGTAAAACCCTCTACTATAATAAAAGAATAAAAAAGACTCACCGTATTAGGCCTCCTCTTAGGCCTACATGATATGTTTAAGAAAAAACTATTCGCACATGGTATTCAAATAGCACGAATAGTGACATCGTGCTTCGAAGCTTCAATGGGTTTTTTAAACTCAAAATCGCACAGCACTAGTTTTTAGCTGGCCCTGCGGAAAATTGCATTTTTTAAATAGAAAAATTGCAAAAAATTGCAAGGTAAACTGCATAAAAATTGCAAAAAATTGCAACCTTCTCTTCCCTGGTGCATTAATACGGGCTTAACATTTTTAGTTTAAAAAACATGACAATTTGAGTACCGGTAGCATAAAAGCAGAACGGCCTTTTAAAAAATCATGACCCACAATACAAATTTGTTAACAAGATTTACTAGTAACAACACTCGAGTACGTTAACAATAAAGTTATCGACCAAATAAAGTATAATACCGCATGACACAAAATAACGGAACCCTCTGTTTTCGTAATAACTTTTAAATGAAGGCATAAAATTTGACCAAATTTAGTACATACCGGGTACTTGGTTCTCGCAAAGATCTAGAAGAGTAGTATGAGGTTTAGTATATATAAAAGCAAAAAATTTGATCAAAGATTTTCGAAACAACCTCTAAATGCAAAATTAGCTTATATGCTCCAATCAATTCAGATCCCGTTCTATTTTTCTCTTGAAACCTTCGCGATACACTGGTAATCTGTTTCTGGATCTATTTCAGATATTTTCTTTTTTAAAACCAGTATTGTATTGTTTTAGCACTAAGTCAAATCGTAAAATACAGAACATTTTTTTTGCAATTTATAAACAATAATAATAATAATGTAGATCATTTCTACAGCGCCCACTCCCGTGTGAACGCAGCCTGAGGCATTTTAAATAACGGAGTGTCTACGTACACGGTAACCGGGCACCTAGCCTCAGTGTCTATGTACGCAGTAACCGGCAACCGGTGTCACATACATGGTAACCGGGCAGTTCAGAACTCCAAGTTCAGTTTTTGTCATCCGGTGTTGCCTTCAACCCTAGCCCTCTCCCGACTGTACCTTTAAAAAAAATAAAATAATAATAATTCCCCCTATTCCGGAGCCCTATAGATATCTACTTCACAGCGCACAAACTTTGAATGAACTTTGGTGATACTCACAATGTGATGCGAAAGTACATGTTCACTGACCGGTCACGATGGCGGGCCCGACAAGACGCTTGTACATACATGTACGACTTTCTTTTTTTTACAACAAGTAACAGCACAGGACAAATATTGATTTATTTTCATTCCGGTTACCGTGTACGTAGATACTGAGACTAGGTGCCCGATTAAAAAATTAAAGCGTTGATGTATTTTTGCCTAAAATTTGCAAGAAATTGGAAAATTGCAAAAAATTGCGTGTTTATTGGAGAACTCGACAAAAAACGCGGACCGCAATTTTCTGGGGGGCCAGTTTTAGGAAATTAAGTTGTAACTATTGATGAGAATTTAATTTATAATTTTGGCAAGGAAAGGAGAATGAATGGTGTGAACTCTTTTCTCATATATATCTTGAATAGTTCATCCATCAGTGTCTCGAGATGACAAGTGCTTCTGCAGAGGAGAATATTCCTTAAAGAAAAACAAAAGAAATAGGGATTAAAATCATTTGTGGCTTCTGCTCTGGCCGATTAGACCAATTCAGTCATAGAAGAGTTTGACATATTTTGAGTATTTAAAAGCGTAATTTCCACTTGTCGATGTGAGTAGCGTACAGGCGTCTGTCTTGGTCTCAGTATTTCAATTCTTGCCATAACATACTTGGGGGGGGGGGAGGGGCTACACCCGGAAAGTTCTGATTCGGCTCAAAACTATAGATTTTATGTAGGCATTTTTAGCTTCTTCAGCCTCTCTTACAACTATTTTATCGCATAAGAACCCCGAAAGCCTTATTTCTTCCCATACCGGGCATGTTTGTTACCACCGTTTCCTCATAAAGTCAATCTTTTATTTTTCTTTCTTTATCTCCCATTTTCTCGAAATGGGGTTTTTCTATGTACTTTTTATGATAACTCCACCATTGTTCATCCAATCTTCATGGAATTTTCCCAGAATGAAGAAAAGATGTAATACAAAAAAATTGTTTGATGAATTTTTGATAGATAGAATAGTTTTTTGTTTGTGGTGTTTAGAGTGAATATTCACAGATTTATTGCAAACCTGAATACTACCTCAGGAAAATTTCTGGTACGTCTAGGAAAAAATTCATCACAGATTTGTAGATCTATTGTTTGCCAAGATAGATGGAAAAAAAAAAGTTTATTTCCTTGAAAAATAAAAATGGTATTAATTACATAAGACATGTCAACAAAATTCAATTAGGCTGGCCCCCCAGGCAATCGCGGTCTTGCGGCTTGCGGCCGCGTTTTTCATCAAGTTCCGCAATAAACCCGCAATTTTTTGCAATTTTCGCAATTTCTTGCAATTTTAGGCAAAACAACTCCAACGCTTTAATTTTAACAAAATTTTTAATTCGAAATGGAGCGAGTACAGAGCTGATAGAGCTAGGTCTACGTAAATCATGGTTTCGGCCCAGCTCTAGTCTACTGGGCACCGGAAATTCAGGCTGGAATACATACATGTAATGTACAACTCAAACTGAGACATAGTGTCATAGAGATCTTTTGTGTGTAAGTCTAAGCTTGCGCTTGTGATAAGAAAGTAGGCGTGTGTGTGGTGTGCATGTGTGTGCGCATGTAAGGTGTACGTGTGTGTGTGCGTGTGTTTGTGTGTGTGCTCACACGCGCACATGAATATTGTTCGTACATGATGCATGTGTCTACATAAACGGTAACCGGACACCTAGTCTCAGTATCTATGTACACACGGTAACCACAATGAAAATAAATCAATATCTGTCCTGTGCTGTCACTTGTTGAAAAAAAAAAAGAAACTCATAGTACAAGCGTCTTGTCGGGCTCGCCATCGTGACCGGTCAGTGAACCTGTGCTTTCGCATCACATTGTGAGTACCACTTGGGGTCACCAAAGTTCATTTAAAGTCTGTGCGCTGCGAAATATAGGGCTCCGGAACGGGGGGATTATTGATTTTTTTAAAAGGTACAGTTCGGGAGAGGGCTGGGGTTGAAGGCAACACCGGATGACAAAAACTGAACTTGGAATTCTGAACTGCCCGGTTACCCAGTACGTGACACTGAGACTATGTGCCTGGTTGCTGGTTACCGTGTATGTAGACACTGAGGCCAGGTGCTGTTTTACCGTGTACGTAGACACTCCCTTAATAATAAAATTAATGTAGTAAAACACCTTAATAAGCTGCGTTCACACGGGAGTGGTCGATATAGAAATGATCTACATTATTATTACTATTAAATGGGGAAAAAATTTGCTGTATTTTACGATTTGACTTAGAGTTAAAACAATGCGATACTGGTTTTAAAAAAGAAAATACCTGAAACAGATCTAATACAGATTACTGGTGTATCGAAGGTTTCAAGAGAAAAATAGAATAGGATCTGAATTGATTGTGGCATAAGCTAATTTTGCATTTAGAGGTTGTTCGAATCTCCCTTCAATTTTTTTTTGTTTTTATACTAAACCTCATACTACTCTTCTAGATCTTTGTGTGAACCAAGTACCCGGTATGTACTAAATTTGATCAAATTTTATGCCTTCATTTAAAAGTTATTACGAAAACCGAGGGTTCCATTATTTTGGGTCGCGCAGTGTTATATTATATTTGGTCGATAACTTTATTGTTAACGTACTCGTGTGTTGTTACTAGTAAATTTGTTAATTAAATTTGTATTGTTGGTCATGATTTTTGAAAAGGCTGTTCTGCTTACCTAAAAATGTTAAGCCCGTATTAATGCGCCTGGGGTGGGAAGGTTGCAATTTTTAGGCAGTTTACCTTGCAATTTTTGCAAGTTTTCTATTTCAAAAATGCACTCCAGATTAGGCCGCCATATCCATGGAAATGAAATTTTTTAAATCAAATTTGATAGCGGATTTTAAGACTCCTTACTATGCTTATTATGTGTTTGAAATTTGGTAACATTTGATCCACTAATAAGCGAGATGCCCCCCCCCCCCCCCCCCCCCACCTTTAAGGAGGTGACATTCTCCGGATGACATGAATGTTTGACTGCATATTGAAATGTTTGGTTCTGACTATTTGTTTCTGAATACTGTTTTGTGTTTTTGCAGGGTTCACTTTCCTAAGAAATATGGATCCTCTACCTCTGCAGCTGTGCTAAACTTAGATGACCTAATAAAAAGAGGGCTCATTGAAAATGTTTTTCCTAATACAAGGTAAGCAAGCCCCAAGTCTTAAAATAAGGTATTGCATTCAATATATGTATTTCGTTTATTATCTTTTAAGACTTGGTTTCCGTCAAACTATTTAAGTTCTTGGAATGAGTTTAGCATTTTCCATTTTTACTCTCCTTACTTCGCTTTTCCACTATCCTTGTATTTCATTACTCTGCCCATTTACAGGAGATACTCAACTACCAATGTTTTGTCCTTGCACATGTACTTGGTAAAGGAATTTCATTCATACATTGATATAATATTCAAATTTATTCAAAGTCAGTTGCGTTGTCGTAGCCATTACTCTACTACATGTCATCAACTCTCTTTTATAACACTAAATTGTAGCCCCTGTTCATTTCCTGCGTTTTAAAATATAATATGTTTCTTTTCCACTGTACAGCCCTAAATGACATCAGGGCTACACTTCTCCCTTTGAGACCTAATATGGACAACATACTCTAGGGAACATTAAAGCAACTGCAACAAAACTGCACTTATCACTTAATTTTAAATAATATCTTTCCCTCACATCAGTTGCGCAAATGCACGCAGGCAATTGTATAAACATAGGTGACTATGCTTTACAGCTGAAAATGTCTGGTTCTCAGAAAAGCTTGAAGTCATCTTTTTCTTTCATTCTCTGTTTTATTTTCCTCACAGACCCGAGGAGCTTCAACAGTTGTTGTCAACTCCCCAAGGCTGGTACTGTGGCTTTGACCCTACAGCAAACAGCCTTCACATCGGCAACCTGGTGTCTCTTGTAGCACTAATACAGGGCCAGAGAGCAGGACACAGTCCAGTTGCTGTGGTAAGATGATCTCCTACTTTTTTTTTCTTTCTGTCTCATAAGTACAAATAAATCTGTGGGGGTCCATGACTTATGTGTGACATAGATCAAGTTACCTATGAACTGAGTTTGATCATTTCTGAGCGGACTTTCAACCTCATATTAGAAACAATATTGTTTTTGCACAGCTAACAGTGGGAAAGACGGTTCTTTCAGAGTGCAATAGATTTAGTAATTGATACTTTCTCAATCCCGCGCACACAGAGAGAGAGAGAGAGAGGTACCCACACACTCTCACACACACACACACACACACACATATAATATATTATATGCTTTTCTTAAAGTGTTTTTGTTTGTAAGGTTACAACACTCTTTTGTGTTTGTGTGTGTATTGTCCGCAGATTGGTGGGGCCACTGGTCTAATTGGAGATCCCAGTGGGAAGACAGCAGACCGTGTGCCGATGAAAGCAGAAGATGTAGAGAACAATATCGAAAGCCTCATGGAAAACATGGAGCGGATTTTCCACAACCATGCTGAATACATCAATGAGGACACCAGAAAGTTAACTTCTCATAGGTGCAGTTAAGCTAAGGAGTTTATGTATGGGCAACGGGGTATCTGTTCTATTGTTCATCCACTATTAAAGGGATCAGTTGCTTTTACTCAATCTTGAAATGCTTTGTTGAAATTTTGTAGCTATTTGTTCTAGCATTTTTTTCTATTGTTGGCTTGACAGGTCTTATTTGGGATTATGTTATCAATTCAATGCATTTTGATAATGGCCCAAGTAGTTTGATCATTGTTTTGCGAAAATAGACATAAAATTCATTTGGTCATATCTCTTCCTGACTCTCACCATAATTACTTCTTTCTTATAATTTTGAAATATGTTGTGGCTTTTACATCAAGAGATCATAGACCATTAAAATAGCACATTGGCCATGTATATTTTGTCCCTCATTCATTCACCTCCATCAGAGGAAATAGCATTGCAAATGTTGAAAGTGGTGACCATCTCAAGATTGTTGATAAAGTTATGAACTAAGATGAAAGCCTCCTATATTCACACCTGTTCTGAATTTGATTTGTTCATAGACTCTTTTATGACTTGGAAGTTGGCCCTTATTCACTGACACTTCCCCTTTAAAATATGAAAAGCTAGAAGTTGATAACATCTTTTATCTGCTTCTGCAACACTAAGTTATAAGTAATTGTAAGCAGCATTAAATGTCATAACTTAAATTGTATCGTAAGAGTCTGCAGCAAAATTTGAAACAAGTAGCTCAGATGTGTGGGCGTTTCTTTCATTAGGATACTGAACAACCATGACTGGTACAGAGAGCAGGATGTCATCTCATTCATGTCCTCGACGACTCGCCATTTCCGTCTGGGAGAGATGATCAGTAGACACAGGTGTGACAGTGTTTTGTTTCTTTTTAAATATATAATATGTTTTCGGGAGAATCACTATTAATCGACATCTTTGAAGGCTTTTAAAGCTGTATGTTAAAAGTTTTCATAATATTTGATCATGTTCTCTCTCCCCTAACAGGAAACTCCACTACTTCAGGATCATTCTCCCACTACATTGTTTCATCAGCCCAGAATCTTTGAGTAAAAATTTGCCCCCATTTCAGTACCATGAACAGGACATACTGATGATAAAGGCCAGATGATAATACCAACAATTATAGAGTGCCTCTTGGGCTGGTCTCTGATCATGGGTAAACCCATCGATAGATGCTAGCACCCAAGTACTGGGCGAATATAATTTTGTTTTTAATTGTGGGATGTGCTTTTCTTTATGAATAAAGGTTGTGCCCAACTGTGTGAGAAATCAAGCCTTTGTCCTCTAGATTAGTGACTCTCAATTGGAACATGACCTTAAATGAGGGTTTGTCAGGGGTTCGTGACCCTGGCTTTAGGTTTTGCTATAGGATCGTGATTCCAGCCAAGGGTTTGCAGGGTGAGGTTAACCTCCAAATGAGCATTTTGCGTGTTGTGAGTCTATATGTGTTATTTCTTATCATGTGGCAGCTTCTGGGAGACGAAATTTATGGAAACTGTTTCTACTACTTCTGCCTGCTTTTTAACCCTAGATGGCTCGCACCATGTCTCAACATCCCTCTCACCTAGCATGCCCGCATAAAGATTCCACCTTAGGACCAACTGGACTTATTGCTTTGTAGTCTATTACAGGCTGAGCAGCAGCATTTACATGCTGTTCTGTCTCTAGTCTTATGTGCACCAAGTATCGTATATTACAGTTCTCTGGTTTCAGGAAAATTGAGTTCATTTTTCGTAAGTGCATCATGCTACAAACCATAACCCCAGTCTTATATATAATTGTGGGTCTCTGGATTGATAACAACAATGACAAACAGGATCAGTAATTGGGGGTGGCATTCTTTATCACCATAATAGTCATGTGGTGACAAAGAGGGGGGATAATAACTCAAAGTCTATGAAATTAAGTGGTGAGCAAGATATGATTTGTTTTACCTTTCTTTAGTGTTCAGAGTCGTCTTCAAAGCAAGGCAGGCATCAGCCTTACAGAGTTTATGTACCAGGTGTTTCAGGCTGCTGATTGGCTGCATCTACTCCAGCACCACAACTGTAGCATACAGGTGGGTGGGTGTTTGTATGTGTATGCGTGTGTCTGTATGTCTGTGTGTATGTATGTTTCTGTACAAGGTATTCCTAGCCCGTAACTGACTGTATCAAATCTTGCATTACAACTGAGTTGACCTCCTCCTTTGTTTGTTCTAAGCACTGTGGTAATTTAGACCTAAAATGAAGACCCATCTTACTGATGACTGTCAAATATCCTGGTAGTCTCACACAAGCCAATCATCTAAAATGAAGCTCAGGGAGCAGAGACTCGAACAAACTTTATAGCCTACCATAGCTCTTCCAAGTACTTTTGTGCCTTTAGATCAACATTTGCCAACTTTTGGAATAATGCATTAAGTTCCTATGGCTAACTGCCTACTGTATAAATAGATTATACCGTCGAACCTGTGTAAGACAGAATCGCAAGGGAGGCCGAAAAAAATTTAGTCTTAGACATTTTCTGTCATAGACAGGGGAATTTAGGGGTTGGAGGGGTTCAAATGCTGAGCCGATGGGATCAAGGATCACTTGTCCGATCGGCAAGCAGTGGTCAAAACTTCACACCTCTCAATTGCTATCCTGTCTGATAATGACATGCGTCAGTCTTACTTATCCAATTACCATACATGCTTGCCTTTCATAGGACCACTGTTTGACCTATTAAAAACAGAAATGTTTGAACATCTCCTTTGCTTCCACCCTTAGCCCCACCCACCAATGCCACCCCTCGCTGCCATCATTGTAACAATGATTCGAGGAACTCTTTTCTCGGCTGGCCGTACGATCAGGTCGGCAGGCATTGGTCAATCTAATTTCACACCTCTGGCTTTTGGCAACCCAGGAAAGTTTCTGTAGTGGCTCACTACTCGAGCATTCTCACGGGCAGTCGTGAGATTTTACACCCACACCACACTGACCTTCTGCATGGCTCAGGGCTCACACAATGGGGTAACATCTACCCCCAAATTGCACCCCTACTCCCCTTCCTCACCCAGCGGCATGGCCATTGCATTAAGTTTAGAGCTGACGGAACCAAACTTGCGAGTTTGATTTCAAATCAGAGCTGAGCGGGCAAAGCATTTTCCGTCTTAGACAGGTGGAACCCTCTAAAGGGAGCGGATTTTTCTTTCTGTTTCCACGTTGGACAGGTTTCTGTTATATATACAGGTAATTAAAGAGGAATATATCGGGGGGGGGGGGGGGGGGGAGATTCCGTTAAGACAGGATTCCTTTTTATACAGGTTTCCGTTAAAGCCGCTTAGACTTAGACTGTATTACAAATTACTCAGAAAAAGAGAGTGCTGTGATTCTGTAATTCACTTTGATGAATACAATTCTGAGCTTATAATACCATCTTTGTCCAGAGATGAGTCCGTAAACAGCACATAACTACAGTCGCACCTGCTCTAAGGGCCACCTTTCCAAATATATCATCCTTACAAACAACCACTTTCTGCTTCCTCACTTGTGTTTTTCCTGCCAAAAAGACCACCTGTCTAAGATGACCACTGTTCTCCTCATTAATAGATGGTCATCTGGGATTGCTTCGACTGAAGGACATGTTTTTTTAATGTAACGCAAAGGGTATAAGTAATAGTAATATAAATGGTGGTGAAATAAACTGCTGTCAAAGCTTGCTAATGTATCCTTAAGCTTAAGCTCATGATAATGATGATTATTAGATGTTTTGCTGTTGGCTTCAGTTCTATTCCATGTCTTATGACTATATGATTCTTTTTGTGGTACAGGTCGGGGGAAATGATCAGACTGGAAACATCAGCTCTGGGTTTGACCTCATTCACAAGGTTACGGGAAAATATGTGTTTGGTGAGCTTGTCTTGTCTGGACATGTGTCTTAAAGCCAGGCCAAGGTCGGCAATGAAAATACAGTAGTCTCTGCCTAAACGCTTGGTGCTCGGGAGGGCTCCTTAGCGTGTGTTTATATGGAGCGTGCGTTCAATGAACCTTTGCAAAGGGAGGAAGGGACACGGTCATCTCGTTGCCTTGATATTCTAGTGACCTCCCTTTGGGGTGGGTTTTTTTGGGGGCCGATAATGGGATGACATGTGACTGTTTTGTGAACCCCGACTGCGGTTAAGATTACAAAGTCGTTGAATGGGTGGGGTCAGTCAGGGGGGAGGGGCAGAAAGACATACTCAGTGTAATGATGTGCGCCATAAAATGTCAAGAACAAATAGCCTAAGAGGAAACTGTTGGTGATAGTCATAGAGAAGACGGCCAAGCCACGTGGCTTTCCGAGCGACCACCCCCAACTGTAAATTCATGGACGACGTCAGAATCGTAGATCTCTACATTGAGAGAAACATTTCTCTTGTAATTGGTTTAACAAGTACGTTATAAGTTCTTCAAGCGCGGCTGATTAGGCTTACTTGACTACTCTTTAATCCTACAGAGGCCTATCTAGTGTTTTACAGCATTCACGCATGTTGTGCATCACAGGCCTAGGTCTAACTAAACATTACATGCAGTTACCCAAACACCAGTCAGAAACCTTCTCTCAAAAATGCATTTCCAGTGACCAATCAAAAACATTTGAATACCCCAACCCCTCAACATTTCTCCGATCAGTCCTAGACCTTTGTGTCTGTGGAAAGTTCGGTGTGAAAACGCTGTCTATCACTCACTTTGTTCGTCGTGAGGGGCAGTCTCACCCAATATCCGGTTTTCTAGGCTTGTCATGCAAGTTGTGCAGATTGTAGTGAAAATTTCCCTTTGTCAAGCTTTACCTGTCGACGTGTTTCGCGGATCGGAGCGTGCGTTTAGAGGGAGTGACCGTGCGTTTGTACATCTAAATTATATAGTAAAAAACCCATCAGATGACGAAAGCATGCGTTTGAGCGGAGCGTGCTTTTGTATGGCCTGCGTTTAGGCGGAAACTACTGTAAAATATTTCCTTCAATTTTATGATTTTCTGTTTATGTGATATTTTTAACATTCTGTATAACCACTTACTCATCATGAGAAATACATTCTAGAGCCTAATACAGTAGTCTCCGCCTAAGATCCCACCGCTTAAGATCCCGCTGTTTTAAGAAAACAGAATTTTTACTACCCGTATACAAAAGTCACCCCTAAGATCCCGCTCTGATTCACTCTGAAGGTCTACATTCGGCTAAGATCCCGCATTTCAGATCATAATTTGCTAAACAAAAACGCGAGCGGGCTCAGCCGATCAAACAAGAGTGAAAAGTTGAGATTAATAAACTGTCCGTCGCGTCAAAGATCAGCCACTATCGTGAATGTGATCACATACACGTGTAAAACTGGATGAAGCGATACAATGTTTGCCCCCGACGAGATCACACCGGGTTGTGAACTGACCGATGCGTTTGTTTTCTCCACTCATCGCACTCACACCTGAGCTCTCCCCCTAACCTTACATCACTCGCTGGGTGGATAGGGCCTACACGTTCGTTCCAGGCGGGATCACATCAAACCTTGAACTCTTCCCTGACCATTGCAGTAGGCGTTGATTTCAGCAGTTGTCTCTACGCCCGAATTTGCTAGACAGACTGAATTTTAATTGGTGTGTTCACGGCGTAATGGTGTGCAATGACAAAAGCATTTGGGGAGGGGGGGGGAACTCGGCCAGAGATGGAAAGCTATACATTTTCGACAGGTAAAGGGGAGGGGCAACTGAATAAGCTTATATCTTGAAACTCATGATAGGATGATAAGTGAAAATGGCACGCCTCATGGCACTATGCACTGTGATAGGCCATCAAGGTTAACCACTCTTTGCTCGCCATGTCATAAACCTACCAAGGGGTCACGTCAGTTCATTTTAGGGTGGAGGGAGACCATTTTACCGATTGTAAGCCTTAACACGGGTCCCCATGGATTCTTCCCTGGGATCGTCGGTTAAGATCCCGGTTCGCCTAAGATCCCGCATTTTCTTGCTCCCGAGCACCGGGATCTTAGGCAGAGACTACTGTATTGGCTACAAGTCCAGAAAAATGCAATGTCTAGAAACATCCTGACAACATAAGGCAGGTGCATTTTTGTAATAAAAGCTCATTTTCTCAAACAAAAGTTCTGCTGCTCTTGAATATCTCCTTTGTGGTTTGTGTGACATACTTCGAATTTGCACAATTTGTACACCAGCATCTGATCCTTATTGTTCATTATTCTATAAAAATTTTGAGAGCCCTTCTTGAAATTCAAAATCACATTTTTGTGAGCTATAGTTGTCTTTTCATTACAAAAAATGAATCTAACTCTAACAATGACATTATCATTTAAAAAAATGAGATTAATCTGATACTTTCTTTTGAATTTCTTATATAATATGTAAACTAAATATTAGTTTTGGGAACAGATCTATTGGGCTGTGGTAATAGTACTGTTTTGATCATAATAATAAGAAAAGTGTTTTTGTGAAAGGCTGGCTGTTTTTTTTACTCTTTGCTTCCTATAGTCCATAGTATAGGTTGCTCACTTCACCCGTACCTGCATTTCTTGGAGTAATGAACAGGAACTAAACTATTGAAGATCTTCATCTTTAGCTTTCTTCTGACACTGTGCTTTCCTTACATTTTGTTCCCTCATGTCCTCCCTTCTCTTCTTCTTTGTTCCTGCATTCACCACTTCTATCTCCCCATAACCCCGCGGGGCAGTGCCACTGACTGTAGTGTCTTTAGGCGATTCCCAAAGGGGCACATTTCTCATTCAAGCACAGTAGAATTGTAAATGGGCTGATTCATGTTACGCTCATAACTGTGCCTGATCTACAACAGGGAACTGCTGCTTTTTCTTTCCTAATCCTTACATTGTCATATTCCTCTACTTCTTTTGTATGTTTGCCACTCTCTTGTGACCCGCTATTTCCACGGTGCCTTGATAGTCGAAGCAGACCTCGTGCTGTTGAGCTAGAGAGGTGAGCAGAGTAAGCCTGATTCCCTGTAAAGACTTCTCTGTTGACCCCCACCCCTTTGCGCTCATATGACCTTATGCAGTTGAGTGCGCCGTAAAACCCTCTACTATAAAAAAATATATATCTTCCCATAGGTCTCTTGGTTCCATTACTCTTGTCCCCTAGTGGAGAAAAGCTTGGCAAATCAACGGGTAACTCTTTATGGCTTGACCCAAACAGAACTTCACCCTTTGAGCTCTATCAGGTATGTGAACAAGAATTCATCATCTCTCGTATCCTCTTCTTGAGAGCTTACTCATGAATGCTAGATTCGAAGTGGGGAGTTCCACGTTAAGATAGAACAACCCCCTACCTACTAAAGGGAACCAATTTTTATCTATTGAATTCTTTTTCTTAGTTAATGAATGAAAATGTACTGACCAGAAGATAGATAATTGTATTCTCTAGCCAGGGCAAAGATGTATCTGGTGTAGGTCTCTGTCAAATTTGTTTCATATTAGAATTAGAACCTTTTTTTTTGTGACGTTCTTGTGTCATTTCAGTTTTTTGTGAACTTACCTGACTCAACTGTGGAACGCTATCTGAAACTACTGACATTTCTCAGCCTGGACGAGATCGAGGCAGTTATGCTGCAGCAAAATGTAAGTGATACTGAAGTCTTTGTGTTCGAAAACAGGTCCGCTTTGCCATTTTACATTGTAAAGCTATGAGGACATGAAGGCGTCCTTGTCTAGTGCTTCTTCTCCTTTTCTACAGCTGCCAACCAGTAAGTTAAAAAATATGATACATATATATATAAAATTGATACATTTTTGAGGGTCTGGGTATGAAAGTTCATTTTTTTGTCTCTGAATAGACCTGCTTGTGAGCCTCAACCAGATTGTCTGAAAATTTTGCGCAACCCCCCCTCCCCCCCCCCCCCAAAAAAAAAGCCTTTGTGGGTGTCATAAGGAAGGACATCCGAGTAACGAGCGACCACCCCAACAAACACAATAAAGAAGAGACCTAACCCTAACCCTACCCCCAAAAAGAACCTGCAACGGGCCTCATGTAAAAAGGCCAAAACAAGTCCTAAATGAAAAAAAATTTAAAATTAAAAAACCACACTCCAAAACAAACAAGGGAGCATATAGATCTAGATTCTAGATCTAGATCTATATGGCTTACATCTACATTGCTATAGGGTTTGATACAATAACACAATAGAATTGGAATATGAATCCTCCATATAGATCTAGATATCTAAATAAATCTAGATCTTGTAGAACAAGTGAATAGGAATAGGCCTTGAACTAGAAATCCGCATCCGATTCCGAACAGAGGGACTCAGCTGAGTCTAGATTCTAAATAATTCACGCACCTGATGAAATGCTTATTTTTACCAATATTAATATTACAGCACAACCTATGATAGAGTTTGACACAATAGAATTGGAATATGAATCCTCCATTGAGGTCTATAATGATCTATATAAATCTAGATCTAGATCTAGATTCTATTAGAACAAGAGAGTCGGACTTGAATGAATCCACATGATTTGAACAATTGAATTAGTCAACAAACGGAATTCAAAATGGCCGCTCGAGCACGAAACTGAAAGTAGATAATTTAGGTTGTCTTCCTTTTTCGTATTCGCATTTCTACTTAGGTTCCGACAATTGTGTCGGAAACGCCGAACAAAAGTGCCGACGAAGCCGACGGGAGAAAAAGGGGCCAGGCCTCGCACTACGCACATTGACTGATACAGGTGGGCCTAGCGATAGCATTGGCCGGTTCGCGGGTCAGGTCGCGATTGTCGGATTTCAGGTGATTGTCGGCAAACATGCAGGTCTATCTGATGTTTTGTATTGCTCCTCATAGACTTGCCAATGTTGAAGAAAAATCATGAACTTTCAGACCAGATTTGCAAAGAAATGATAAGAACAAAGCCTGTAAGTCAATTGGAGTTGTGTCCATTGCCATATATTGAGAGCTGTACTTAATATTTCTCTCTCTATTATTACAAGTTTATTTTAAATAGTGTGGACATAGTGCATGTAGAAATTCCTACCATCTAGACCCTCCACACTGGTAATGTTTTTTGGTTTCAAAAAGTAAGCAGCTGTGCTTTTCTTCTTCTTTTTTTTTTCTTCTTCTTCTCTGTTTTCTTTTTTCTTCAGATTTTGATCCTTATTTTACTCTTCAGGTCAAAGTAGCCCGCTTCCCTTAATTGTGTCAATGCGGTCACTACACAACTTACAAAGTAATGTTGGGTGTGACATTGTTGTAACGCCATTTGGGATGTTTTCTGGGGATTGTGTTACATTTTCTATAGGTTTTATATTGACTGTACAGTACATTATAGTGGAATAATTTAGGTGTCAAATGTCACATATTGTAAAGGAATGTGATGTTTTCTGTATATGAGCTCATGAATGATTGGGTGCTACTTCATGTGTCTTATGACATTGTAAATCATGGTGTGATATTTTCTGTATTGCATTTTTTTTTTATTGTGAGATCATAAATAATTGTGTGATGTTTTCTATACTCTATGTGAGATTGTAAATAGTTCTGTGTTTTTCTGTGTGTTCCATATGAGTTTGTACGTCATTGTATGTTTTCTGTGTGTAGTAAAGGATCATGATGTCCTCATTTTTGTTTTTAGCAATCTCCTGAGCATCGCCATGGACAACGACAGTTAGCAGAACAAGTCACTCTGTTGGTACATGGCGGTGAGTGGGCTTTGGGAGTCTATTTTTGGTTGATTTACTTTTTACCTGTCAATAGAAAAGCAAAATGTTCTGTTCTTATCTGTTTTTATTTAGACATTCAGCTATTCCTCTGTGTACCTCACTCATACCAAATTGCTTTTTACAAACAAAAACAGTACTTACATTCATCTTTCATACATAATACATGTTACATTTAATGAATGACAGCAGTTGTATTCTATTTCTGCATAGATAGACTTTGTCTAAAGGCTTTTTCACTTGTTCTGTTCTAACTTCAGTAAGTAAGTCAGATAATGATGAAGACTTTGTTGATTATTTTCAAATATTTATAGAGCTACGAGTAAGCTGCTTTTCATGCTTGTTTGAGTTTATTAGTTGGTTTTACATTTTGTTTTTTTAAGGGTGACAATAGGTTGTTTCAGCAAAAGTCTTGTATGGTATGGGTGGTATGGTAGATGTTTTATAGCCCTTTAAACTAAAGTAAGATGAGGAATTTTATTGTGTAGTTACCTTACTTATAACAAGTGGGTGGTTGGCAGATGCTCTGGTGTGGTTTGCTTCTTTTTTCCTATCAAACATCTATCGTCCTTATCTATCCTTCTTTTTGTGTATGTTATTCTCTTGTAACACGTTTATTCTTAAGCACTTGTATGACTTTATTGTGTTGCAAGTGCCGTAAAACTCTTACTAAACCATAGAACATAACATCGAGCCATGACTGAAGAATGAATTCATCTGTATGACATGTTTTCTTTTTATCTATAGAGCATTGTTGTCCGTTTTATTCATTTTCTCCTTGTTTGTCATTGTCATTGTCTGTTCACATAATTCTTACGGTAGTCTCCGCCTAAATGCACGTCATACAAAAGCACGCTCTGCTCAAATGCACACTTTCGTAATCTGACGGGGTTTTATTACCTAATTTAGATGTACAAACACACGGTCACTCCCTCTAAACGCACACTCCAACCCGCGAAACACTCTGACAGGTTAAGCTGAACAAAGGGTCTCCACAGCTTGCTTAAGACAAGCCTAGACAGCACGATATTTGGTGAGACTGCCCCGAACTTTCAACTGACACAAAGGTCTAGGCCTGGTCGGTGAAATGTTGGGGGTTGGGGAACTGAAATGTTATTTGATTGGTCACCGGAAATGTGTCTTTGAGAGAAGGTTTGTGACTGGTGTTTGGGTGACTGCATGTAATGTTTAGTTAGACCTGGGCTTATGATGCCCAACACGCGTGAATGCTCGTTCATGAACTTACGGTCAGGGGTGGTTGCTGGGAAAGCCACGAGGCTGGGCCGTCATCTCTGTGACTATCTCCAACAGTTTCCTCTTACGCTACATCTGTTTCTGACATTTTATGGTGTATATCATTAGATCTACATTGAGTCTGTATTTCTTACCTCTCAACCCCCCCCCCCCCCCCCCACAAACACACACCCATTCAACACCTTTGTATTCTTAACCGCAATCGGGGAATCCTTCAAAACAGTCGCGTGTCGTCACATTATCGGCCAAAGTTACCCTCACCCCAAAGGGAGGTCACTAGAATATATCAAGGCAATGAGTCAATGAGATGACTGCGTCCCTTCCTCCCTTTACTAAGGTTCATGTAAACGCACGCTCCGTATAAACACACGCCAAGGAGCCCTCCCGAGCACCGTGCGTTTATGCGGAGACTACTGCACCGGTATTGGCAGTGTGATAAAATCAGGCACTCATCAAATTAATGTTATCAAGGAAAAAGGAATTTTCTTGACCATTGGGCAATTATTTATAATTTTTTTTACTCAATACTTTCTATGTCCTTTTAAAAAGACATTTCTGTGTGGATTTTACTAAAAATGTTGATCAAAGGCACAAAAAATGTAAATTTGCAGTTTCCAAAGACCCTCAAGCTTTGGCGGCCATTTTCTCTCTAGTTTTACCTCTGACATCAGGCAACCCTCATCTCCTTCAATTTGGAAATATCTTGACTTATATTAAAGATAGAAGAGTATTTTTTTTTCACCAAATGCAAGACAAATGAACAAGCTTTAAGAAAATGCAAAGTACTCCATATGCCCCAAAATTGACGAGCGCCTGATTCCATCGCATCGTGACACATTTTGTTTGTTATCAGTCTCGTTGCCTTCTGTCCTCTGTTCTCCAATCTCTCGATGTCTACTGTCTGTTTACTCACATCCCTCATTCCCTGCTGTTTTTTGTTCACCATTCTCTCATTATCTGCTGTTGTCCTGTTTTTTCAATCTTTCACTGCCTACTGTTGTGCATTCTCTAATTTTTCATTTCTAAAGGCCAGTATCGAGTGTTGTAAATTTCTCCTTACTCTCTTTTGTCAGAAGAGGGATTGAGATCAGCCTTGAGATGCACAGAAGTTCTGTTTGGTGACGCTGTCTCTCACCTTCGCCAGATGGCGCTATCAGACCTACAGCAGCTGTTTGTGAACGCCTCCACTTCAGATGTGACCCATGACCCTCAGATGACGCTGCAGGAGTTGTGTATGGCCATAGGCTGTTTCTCTAGAGATGGTCAGAAACCTGCTGGTACCCTTGCATCCTTTACATTTCTGCATTTTACATCCTCATTTTTGCAACAACTGTCCTGATATAGTGCGCCCTGAATTGGTGGTTGGTTTTAGGGTGCCACTAGCAGGTCCTACTTTATTTCTTTCATTTTGTCTTTGCTTGATTTTACCACAATACTAAATGATGTCAATGTGCTTTTCATTACTCAAGCAAACAGAACGAAAGAGTATTAGGTTTATTATTGACCTTTTCTGCATTTTATAATTAGGAGGTACTAAAAATACTACTACTAGAGTAGTTAATTTTTGCCTGTTATTTTTTACTTAACAATCCTCTTCCCTTGCAGCAGACCAAGGAAGGGGAAAGTTCCGAGTCCATTCCAGACTTGCCACGTTTGATGGAGGAAAAAATATGAGTAATTCCTTACCAAAAGTGCAGTAGACTGTTACTGTTACAATTTCCACCCACCCCCACCCCCCTACTTGCTTTTTCTCTGTATTTAAGCACGCAGTAACTCTAGATATCTCCAAAGAGTGGGAGTAAAAATGAGAGTAAGAAAATTTGTTTTTGTTCTCAGCCGATGCAGAACGCATTATCAAAGCCGGTGGTGTGTACGTGAACCAGGGACGTGTGTCTGATCCATCGGCAGTGCTAGCAAGTGGAGATTTTATTTTGCCCAACAACATCACTCTGGTGAGAGTAGGTACGTTCTGACAAGGCTTTGAATAGGTACCAGAAACTAAATTTTCAAAGTAGCTGTATGCCAAATTTATCTGTTCCATTTGAAAGGCCTATATCCACTGAGCATTTGGTACCATTCTTTAACCTCTCCATCAATTTTTAAGAAAATTGTAGTTGTTTAAAATTTGATCAAATTTGTTGAAGTCAGTCACAGGCTGCAACCCCATGTTTGACAGACAATAAAAGAGTACCAAGTGCACCAAACATCTCCACATTAACAGAGCACAATCATTATAACAAATATATGGAGCCTAATTTTTTTCAAGACTCTGAGATCTTTACAAATCAGTATTTTATCGCCTCAAACACGATGATCTGTCGTTATTTCGACAAAAACACCGAGCGTTGACCCCGCCGGCGCCGCACCGGCCCCCGCGGCAAGCGAGTCGGCTCTATACTGTAGTGTACCCCGCGTGTGGGGTCACATGCTTTCCGAGTCTCGCGGAAGGATTGATGAAAAATAATTCCAAGTTAATAACTTAGTTCTAATAGAAAATGAGCTGATCTTTTAATTGATACCTGTTATAAGTCGGTATTATACATATTTTGTGTAAAAAGGGATCTTTAAACATTTTGACCGTATTTTTAAAAGCTCTCTATAAAGACGCCAAAGGCTAAACTTATATCACGGGAAAGCCCGTTTAAAGCTCTACAGTTCTCCGCCAATGAAAAGACGGTATTTAATCATCCCTCGTTCCGCGAAGCATTTGAATGCACGCGTGTCAATTTTTCAACCGGCCGACCTCGCATTCCGACCACGAGGGGCTTCGCTTTCGTCGGCGATTCTCCAGCTCCTAAAAATCGGACATATAAACAACTTACACCATTGTAAAGAGGAAAAGCTGAACTTTTACAAGGTGTACAGCATTTGCTGTTTTATAGCGAAAGAGCAAAGAAACAGCGATCGGAATTACCCCGATTTTACCGATACCACGCGGTCGGAAGGCCGCGAGTGCCCGCGAGGCCGTGTTTACGCTACCTACTTTGAACGCTAGTATTTTGTAGGAGCCTGAATGTCCATTTTTAATGTTGCTGTGTTTTCTTCTTTATAATGCTTGACAAACTCACGCGTCAGACCTAAAGGCGAACTGACACTGTGTAGCTTCTATATGACTGCACCTTGAGTTAAAGTATAGAAAAGCATATCAATGTAATGACCATTTTACTGCAGGGAAAAAGTAGGACAAATAGACTGAAACAACAGAGGGAAAGAAAAGATGTAGACCTTACCATTGGCACCCTCCAACCTTCGGCTAGCACCTTGTCCAACACTTGTTTTGTTATATATTTTTATCCCACAGGAAAGAAGAACTACTTCATTGTGAGATGGGTGACGTGAGGGCTGGAGGGGTGTTCCATCTCTTTTCCTTCGACCGAACAAAGTGACCTCTTCATCCAACAAGCAGGAAAGGGACTCTGTTGATATGAATGACTGGCCACAGGAAGAGGGTTAGCTGGATGTGGATGGAGGTGATATGTTGTTGTTGTTGGTGGATGGAGGTGATATATGCTGATGTGATTTCGCTGGTCTTGTATTTAGTGTTTGTCTGCATTATCTCTCAAGAGTCATCACAAGGGTAGCTTGAGGCAACTTTGACAGGCTCATGTCGGGCAGCAAAAGTAACCGATACTGTTTCATACTGAATGAAAGAAAACCTATGATCTTGCTCCAATGTTGTAAAGCAGCCATTCTGCTTTTTGATTACAATGTTCTTTACTCTATTTGTGTTCTGAATTTTCAACTAATCACTGTATTGTGACATTCATCCACATGAGGCAATTCAACAGGGGCTGGTGCAACTTCAACCCCCACATGGGGCAGTTCCAACACGTGGTGTGGGCAACTTGGACATGGGTTGGTATAATCCTAAATAGGTGTTGGATTGATATTGATATTATGGCCCTCCCCGCACTCTCTCTCTCTCTGTCTCTCTCTGTCTCTCTCTCTCTCATACACACACACACACACACACACCTACCCCCCCCCCGTACATTCAAACCTCGTGTGTGCTGTCGAGGAACATGGCCCTGAACAGCTGCCCTGCGTGATCTGCAGCATCAAGGTTGAGGTTGTGTTCAACCAAAAAGTTGGTGAAGAAGACCTCTGCATTCCTCACTGCACCCTCCAAAGGGGGCTGGCCAAAAAAAGTCTTAAGAATAAGACTTGATGCTGACTTCACAGAGGCTGCATTTCTTATATTAGGTAGCGTAAACACGGCCTCGCGTCCTTCCGACCGCGTGGTATCGGTGAAATCGGGGTAATTCCGATCGCTGTTTCTTTGCTCTTTCGCTATAAAACACCAAATGCCGTACACCTTGTAAAAGTTCAGCTTTTCCTCGTTACAATGGTGTAAGTTGTTTACATGTCCGATTATTAGGAGCTGGAGAATTACCGACGAAAGCGAAGCCCCTCGCGGTCGGAATGCGTGGTCGGCCGGTTAAAAAATTGACACGCGTGCATTCAAATGCTTCGCGGAACGAGCGATGATTAAATACCGTCTTTTCATTGGCAGAGAACTGTAGAGCTCTAAACGGGCTTTCCCGTGGTATATATTTGGCCTATGGCGTTTAAATAGAAAGCTTTTAAAAATGCTGTCAAAATGTTTAAAGATCATTTTTTACACAAAATATGTAAAATACTGGCTTAAAAAAGGTGTCAATAAAGAGATCAATTTATTTTCTATTAAAATAAAGTAATCAGTTTGGAATGATTTAACATCAATCCTTCCCTGAGACTTGGAAAGCATGTGACCCTGCACGTGGGGTACACTACAGTATACTCCGACTCGCTGGCCGCGGGGGCTGGTGCGGCACCAGCCGGGTCAACGCTCGATGTTTTTGTCGAAATAACGACAGATCATCGTGTTTGAAGTGATAAAATACTGATTTGTAATGATCTCACAGTTTTGAAAAAAATTAGGCTCCATATATTTGTTATAATGATTGTACTCTGTTAATGTGGAGATGTTTAGTGCACTTGGTACTCTTTTATTGTCTGTCAAACATGGGGTTGCAGCCTGTGACTGACTTCAACAAATTTGATCAAATTTTAAACAACTACCATTTTCTTAAAAATTGACTGAGAGGTTAAAGAATGGTACCAAAATGCTCAGTGGATATAGGCCTTTCAAATGGAACAGATAAATTTGGCATAGTCAAAACTTTGGGTAGGGTTAAAACGGGCTACTAAAGTTTACTCAGGACAAAACCGGAATCAAGAGAAATTAACAGGTTTGGGAAGGATTTTTAAATAATTAGAGAAAGAAAGAAAAACTGGGCCTGTAACAAAAGGTCCTTTTCAGTAAAAAAAAATGTTATGCTGGACACATGATTTTCTTGAAAAACTTCCTGTTTACATAAAAGTTTTTGATTTGTTGTAGTTCTTCTGTTTCCTTAATATTGCAACCCTAATCTAAGGCTGCGTTTATTCTCACCCGGTGTCCTGCCCTCTCCTTCTTAGTAGATAGATAGGGTGGATGGATTTTTACGATATAAACAAGGGGGAAAAATGAAAATTCAGCTTATAAATCTAGATATATTATAGACAAGCAACGCTGCACAGATAATACAACCATACAAAAAAGCGAACATAATTTTTATCGACAAACACACATACCAGACCTGCCACTCATCCCGATTTAATCGGGATATCCCGATTTTTTGCCCCAAATCTCAAGCATCCCAATTTTCCTGATTTCGATCGCTAGTATCCTGATTTTTTGTCGTTGCGTCTGTTGTGTCCGATTCTTAGAAAAAAATATGTAAAGTTCTGCAATCTCTTTTGCTTGGAAGCACCGATTGGACTTTTTATCGGCAGGAACTTGGAACGCTATTTTCTAAAGCATCTATGCCGAATCTAGTGGTTGACTCACGCACGTTATTTCAACTAAAATTGATGTAGTATCGATTTTGAATTCCTACCTGGATACGCTTAAGATGTACTTTCGCTTTTATAACCCAGAATTCTCCGATGGTGTCCTGATTACTGTAACAATTATGACATGGGCCTAAGAATAATTTATTTGTTGTTCTGCCGTTGGTTTAAAAGCAAGCTTCGTCTTGAGTTCTGGTTAGTCGGGCCCATCATCAAGACCCGTCAGTGGAACTTTCAAACGCTCATTTGCATCACGTGACATGACTTCGTTCATGTGAGTAGCGCGTGTGTCGGGGACCGTCGGCTGTCGGGGTCAGCAAAGTTCATTCACACCGGTCGCATTGGTCGGGGTGTTTTTCGTGACTTAACCAGGACGACGGGGGGGAGCGGGTGGGGGTATTGTTTTGACACTTGGACTTAAAGTGCATGCCGTGATACAAGTGGAACCAACTAATTGAGGATAAAGGAATAAGAAAAAATAAATAAATGAACAACCTTGGCGCGATCTTTTTTTCTTTGAGTGTGGAAGTCAAACGTTGTTACTGTATGAAAACACGGGCTTTTTGCGTGGATGATTAGAGTCATGTGTCAGCTATTTTCAAGACAACGAGAGTTTCAGCTTTACTGCAACCTGCGCTCCCCCACTCTATCCCACTCCAACTCGAGTAATGCTGTCTTTCAGTTTTCCCTCTATTTAGTGGCCCAAACGTGAACTTATTCCTGCAAAAGTTTTCTCTTGCGTACTTTCCTTATAAAAGGGAACCAGGATCCCCCTTCCCCAGTACCCCTTATGACTGATTTGCCGTTGATCCCGATTTTTTTCAGCAGATCCTGATTTCTTTTCTCTAACATCCTGATTTTTAGATTTCATAGAGTGGCAGGTCTGCACATACTGACAATCTCCTAAAAATTTTGTCCCAACCTCAACCTACTCCACTGGTCTAATGTATATTAATTTACTATCCATGCAATTATATATATATTAGGTGGGAAAAGTAACTGCAAAATCATTTGACAAGGCAAATAGGCTTAAACCCCGAAATACAGTTTACAAGAAAAAAAGACGTTTTTTTCATGTATTTTAGTTATCAAAAACCTTACAAAACATGAACTTACAGCCATACCATAGGAAATGTTGACACAAGAGGCAAAAAAGGGATGAAACTGCATGAAAATTAGTCTGTGGCTGTGTCTGAATCATCTTCTGGATGTTCTGTGGCTGCCTGTATCCTTTTCTGTGCTCGTTTTTTCCCTTTTGTCCTTCTGCTGGCTCACTTCTGATGTCTTTACCCTCTTACTGTCTAACAGTTTCATGTATGAAAATCCATGAGAAGGTTGTCCACTATCTGCATCAGAATCTTGTTGTTCAAGAAGGATAGTGTTACTGGCAGCTGATATAGAAGGAGAATCTTAAGTGGGTTTTGAAAAGCCAGGTTCATCATTTGCGTTCACAAACTGATTCCCTTGAAAATGCCTTTTCCTGGGACGACCAGGCCTTTTTTTCTTTGGTGGCATTGCTAGAACATCAACAAATTAGCTTGTCAAAACAATGGTTTACACTCTCTGACTGGCACGAGGACCTGGTAGCCCTCAGATATAAACAACATGCGGTGCCAAAGGCTGTTTACAAGCTTCTCTCTGATTGGCTAGAGCAAGGGATTCTCATAAACTTCCTCTACATCTAACCAATCAAAATGAAGTTTGCATTCATTACAAGAAGCTAATGAAAAGTTGTTCTAAAGACCAAAACAAGAACAAAACCGTTTATTTTGTTAGAATCGGTTGATTAGTAGATGAGTTATGACCAATTAAACTTTTATATGAATATTTAATGAGATTTTCTTCGTAATGGTATTGAAAATTAAAATTAAAATACTTCTAATTAAAATTTTAAAGAATTTATTGCTTTAAAGGGTGTGGAAAGATTCATTATTTAGTATGAGGTGGGGTTTTTTTTTAATTCACATTTTTTCAACTTTTTTCATAATTAATAGGGGTTTAGGCTAACCTTAAAACACCTTTTTGACCTTAACATTAATATTTGACTGCAACATCATCAAAAGCCCACTTTATCTAATCACTGTCAAGAACATGAAGTATGATGAAGCTACAGAGAGCACCTAGCACACCTGTGTGATTGGCCCAAATACAGATGATGTATTTTCACCATCTGTTTTTGTCATCTTCCGGGGTTTCCCTTACGGGTTGACTAGGATCTATGATGGGATCTATCACTATCTATCTCCCTTTATTATTATTCCTTCATCATCATCACACACATAGACGCACATAGGGACACGCTGGTAGATCTAGGCCTAGATACACACATGCATAAACACACACACTTACACACATGGCAAAGATAGGTATATTTAGCTTCATGTCTGACAAGAAAAGCCGGGGTGAAAATAGCGAGTCATGGGATATTCTCACATGGTCACATGGGATGACAAGTAGGCCTATACCTATAGCGACTTCTAATTGACAACTGAGTGAACAGGCACTGACCAACTTTTGAGCTGTGTCTATCTATGCCAGAGGTCTGGATCTAGATTCTCAGTCAGAGGTTACGTCTAGATCTATATAAAGATTTAGATCTATAATATATAGTGAATAATTTATAGTCATTGTCTAGTACTAATGGCACAGGCATAGGTCTAGACCTCCTAAATCTAGACCTAGAATCTAGATCTAGTCCTAGTCTAGATCTAATAGAGCTAGAAGATAACAGAGTGCTGATGTGCCGTTCAACGTCTCCTTTTCCTTG